TTTAAGCTTTTTTCTTGCTAATCGGGGGCCAGTTTGCAACCAGGGGGCTGGTAAGCTGCCCTTAGATTTTGGGTAGCTGACTTTGGCCTTTATGGTCATGAAGTGTTGTGCACGTTGTAGATGTGACTCAGTGACTCACACCATGCCTATGGAGGCTTCTGCTGCAACAGAATGATTTGATTTGATCATGCTTTCCACAAGCATCAGGGTCTTGAGCCAAAGTACATGGATTGAGAAGGACACGTGCTATGTCATCTATGTGCATGCGCGCCGTGCCATATTTATTTTATATTTTGGTTTCGGTTAGCTTCACCAAAACTTTTCTGGAGCCAGCGTCCAGCGTTTGCGGTGGACTCTAAGGGCCTGTAACAATTTTCAATGAATTCCCTGGCCTGTCTTTCTAATTCCACATGTTGTTTTTGCATAAAAGCCACCGTACACACCTTTCAAAAAACAAGGTGCATTTTGATGGCCTTCTAGCTAGCGCTGCATTTACATTACACCTACTACACCACACCACTGCCGCTGCAGGAGCTGTTGCTCTCATTTTTTGTCGCGGCTGGCAAGGTTGTTCGCTTTGAGCGTGGTGTCTGGCTCTTAAAGCCTTCACTCAATATCCTTCTCATCAACTCCCACGAGTTGGTCGGTTTCGACCTCCTCTTCCTCTTCGCCTTCGGCTGGAGGATCATCCGCAGTATCGTGATCATAGGTCTCACCACCAGCATCGCCTGTGCTCTTGGCCACGGCCTCCCTGATCATGCATTCCTTGAACATGGAAAATGCAATTGTTTGTTTGTGTGTTTGTTTGTGATGTTTGAGCTGTTTTGTTCACCGAACTTGCAGCTTAAGACAGTGGCTGACATTTGCTTCACGGTCTCTTTGTCTTTTCCACGTTCGAACTCAACCCGGCAACACTCCTAGGAGAGAAACCAGAACATGTGGAACCGTTCCAAATTTCAGCAAACTGACAAACACTCAGAAACATTTATTAGAGAGAACAAACAACAAACAAACAAGTAAGCCGGGTTCGGCAATCTCTTCCAAGCGGTCTGCAGACAGGCCATCGACTTGCTTCACCTCGAGGAGAAACATATTATATAAATCATTGGAACTTTCTTTGATGACTGGCCTGACGAAGACTAAAGTTCTGACAAAATGTCACAAACAACCAGCCCAAGCACCAGGCCGTGAATTGTTCGCCTTGACCTTTGAGTTTGAGTCCCCATTTCAAAGGCCCCTTCTGTTTGTGATACGGGTATTTGTAACACCGGATTGGGCCTTCATTTCCAGTTGCCGGCTTCTTTGAAGTTCCTGCTTTTGGGGCTGCGGCTGGGCGCTTCATCGGCTTTGGTTCAACGGGCAGTGGGTCTACCTTAAAGTCTTCTGCAGTAGGCGCCTCAGGCAGCGCGGCAGGTTCACTCGGGTTTTCGGCTGCTGGTTTTTTTTGGGGCAAAGCCTTTGCCCCGGCTTTGGTTTTGCCCTTAGCTTTTGGCTTTGCCACTGACTTGGGCGCTGTTTTGGCTTTCGGGGCCGGCTCATCATCAGACAACTCGGTAACAGCGTCTGCTGGCATCCTAGGGGGCGGTGTTCTTTCCTGCCAGTTGCCAGCAGGACCAAACAAGCGAAACATAGCACTTGACAGAACTCGCTTCAAGAGCCTCAAAATGGAATGGCATCACGCAATAAGTAGTTGCTGTCAGCATATTGCCCAAAAAAACACATAACTCAGAGACTCAATGATCATTGCATTCCTCACAGAGCGGCAACTGTATTTAGCAATGCCACATTTTTCTCTTGCGACACTTGCTGCATTGCGGCACGAAAGTTGCTGATCCCAAAATGCCGATTGATGGCTGAATCAGCGGAGAAATACTTCCTTTAGAGGCTCAAGACTTTAGAGTTGCACTGCCTGCTTGCCGGAAACCTTAAGGCGACAGCACAGCCACATCTTTGGCTTCAGCGGAACCAAAGAAGCTGGCATTCCAGCATTAAGCTTCACCTGCCGCCAACCCCCACATCACACAACTCAAAGCACTCCAACCTTCGCCAATCAAGAAAACTAACTTTAACGCCCCCCCCCCAACCTCCCAAAGCATCTTGCACAAAGCGGTTGGCGCGCAACTCAACTGGTGGAACTTGCCGATGAAATGAGCGCCCATCTGAGAATACCGAGCCGCCATCGGGTCCAATCCAGACTCCAGGGGCTTCGGGTCAAAAACATTGACCTTGGCCTTGGGCGCCACTGTGTAGCGGAACGGCTTGACGTTGCCTTCCTGATCGAAGTCAATCTTGGAAAGAAACATACCCCACATTGAGTCAACAACACTGCAAAAAGTTTGTGGGAAAAGCAAAAAGATTGTTGCGACAAACCTTTGGGTCGGTATCAACCTGCTGGGTAAGATCATGGTCGCATAGCACCAACTCAGTCGTCCCACTTTTTTGGGCCACCCTGCATGCAATTTGAGCAAAACATAGGCCTGTCTTCTTGCCGTCGCTGTCAACAAATGCCATCATGGTATGGTCTGCCTCCACAATGAATGGTATGGCATCTCTCACACTGGTTCGGGCCACTCCTGAATCAGGGCCACCGGTGGCATTAGGTAGCAATCAGTTTTTGTTGACCACAAATTGAACACAATTGGCCAATGATAATGTCAAAACTCAAAGATCTAGAAACCCAGCCTATGCCCTTCTCTGTGAAAGAACCAATGTTGTACCCGAAGAGTTCTCCACTCTCCACTTCCAAAGGGGCATCACCCTCATTCAACAGCCAGATGGTGAGGTCTTTGGCGATGCACACGCGCAGCTGGTTGTGGACAGGATGACCGCAATGAGACACCAACCTGCAATCAGCAATCATACCACAGCAGCAAAAAAGGTTTTGAACCACCATCAAAGCACAACAAAAAACAAATGCTCACAACCCATCCGAACAGCTCAATGGTACTGTGGAAGTCCTCCAGTGGCAAAAGCTGAACCGGGACTCCCATCTGCGATAGATTCATCGGAGCGTTGGGTGAGTCAAACACTGGCTGCGCCATGGTGCGGGCCACACCCCGTCCCGGCCGAGATGGGGTCTGTGGCGTTGAACTTGGCGAGCGGAAATTGGTAAGGATGGCAGTGTCATGCGAGTGGTTGAACGCCTTCACCTTGGCCAAGAGTGATTCGCCACTGCTCGCAAGGCCAGCAAGCATAGCATCCGGCAACCTGATTGTGGCCAAGACTCCAACAATGTTCAAACACTTAGAAACATAATATATGTAGTTGGAAACAAAAACTTAAACCTTGTTCAAAATGATTCAAAATACCGAAGCAAAGCCAAAGGAGCACAACCGCATTGTTCTCTCCAATCGTGCAGAGCTCCATGGTCGGCGGTGTTCCAGTAAAGGCAGCTTGAGGGCGAGTGGGCGGTCCAGCGTCATCACATGTGTCCCAATAGTCCTTGCAACAAAATATAGCAAGGCAACCCAACTGCAAGCAACAACAAACAAAAACCAAAAAACTGTTGTTTACAGCTTTGGCCATGAATCCTGATGAATCTGGCTTCCAATGTATGACGTCCAGTCGTCGCTGCCGCCATCCTCTGGGGTCATGTAACCCACAAAGTGCCAGTCAAAGTCGCTCTGGGCCGTGCCCTTGAGCTTCTCAAGCTGCATGGACCAAACGGCGCGGCTCCATTCCCCATACCTTTGCCAGGCTTAAACCAAAACCGAACGCTTGTACGAAGTGATTGTGTTGGCCCTAACATTTTGCTATCTAGATACCGTGATGGCATGAGGTCGACAACATACACCGAAGCGTTGGCGTGGTCTCGCTCCAGCCCATCGACCAAACCCTGCAGCACTTGCTTTGTTGCCTCTGCTCCTCGCTGCTGCGCCTTGGCTGTTTGGCTATTTTGCGCCTTGAAACTTGGCTGCTGTTACTGTAACCACCTGAATTCCAATTCCAACTCTTAAGAAAATCTGTCACAAGGCGAGCTACCCGACCAGGAGGGGAACACACACGGGCGTCGTCGTCAGTCCATAAATCCATGACTCTCGCCCTTGCGACAGGGCCAATGGTGCCCAAATAGGCTTTGCTCTTGATGAACGCAAAGTTCTTGTGTATTGGGCTCACCGCCAAAAGGCCTTACATCAAGCAAGCAAACTTAGGGAGCTTGACAATATCTGAATATATATTTATACTTTCATATGTACTATTTACGCCATATCTATATATATATATGTTCAGGCAAATGAAGACAACCAACTTCAGCAACAGCCGCTGAGGTACAACTCTGACTGCGACGACGTCTGTCGCCCGCGTGCTGGGAATCGCTGAACGTGAGTGTCACCTCCTGAAACTCTAGGACCCTTAGTTGAAGAACAACTGATAAAACGGTCCAAAGTAGAGCACTGAAACTTCATTGAAACTTCATGAGAGAGGTTGATTACACGTTGAAGCAAAGTAACGACAGCACCTTATCCTCTAGGATTCGTTTGTTCTTCATCACCGTCTCTTTGTCAGTCGAACCGTGGGCGAGGGGAAGCAATACAAACAACACAGCGGCCGCATCGCCGTTGCTGATTGTTTTCGCAACCTCTATTGCCTCGTCCAAATGCAAAGGGCCTTACTCACGGCATGGCATTGCGCATTAGACTGAACCCTCAAAATTCAACAAAAACCGCTCAGTCAAGCACGCCGTGGCCAAAGTGACGCATCCAGCACCATGATGGTCAACCTCTAGTCCACTCTCTACACCTAATGAGTTTTACATAAGTTCTAGCAATGCGCTTTTAGTAGCCAAATAGCCTGTCGTTTCTCTCTGCATCTCTTTGGTGCTGAAGAAGGTCCGCGTGGGCTTGTGATAGTGGAAGGCCTGGACACCTATGTGCCTTGTTCATGAAATCTGTCACAAAGACTTTGCCTTTCTGGTACCGCTCTTGGAGATACTTGATATCCATGGCTCCCTGAGACAGACTGAAATTGTGTATCTGACTTGTTGTGTTTCCATGTTTCCACTCGGTGTTTGACGGATACGGCATGTTGAACCGCCTTGATTTGTTAACCTGCCTGCTTGTTGGCAAAGGTTTTGGCGTCTTCAATGAACTTGGCCATGGCGTCCAAATCACCCTGCAGTTTTGTCTCCCTGTCTTGCAGAGTTGCCGAGGCCACCATCTCTGCAGCCCTTAGACTTTACCGCTCTTGGGCGCGCAATACCCAAGTTTGCCAAGTAAGGCCAAGAAGCTTGTCGGCAGCCTCAACCTTGTCCTTTTCCACCTCTACAAGGTAACACCGGTCACCGCTAACATCACTTCTATGACAAACATGACTCTCGCGTCACAATTTTTCAGCAAGCCTTCTCCGCATGTTTTGCCATTGGAACCCTAAATATTCCAATCCGAGCAATGTCCACCGGAGGGACCGTCTGCTCCACCAACAGGTCTATCTCCGCGTCTGCGTGGCGGGCAAGAAACCTGTGGAGTCACAAGCGAGCAAAACCTACGACCAAGGCAAGTGGCAAGGAAAAACCTGGCAAAAGCAAGACCTACAACTTAGCAAAGGAACGATTTGATAAGTGTCTCCTCTTCTGCGATCGCAAAGCTCTCTGGGAAGCGGGATCGAAAAGCTTTCATGCAGGCACAAAAGGCCGTACATTGCTTCTGCAACTGTTCCTAGAACGGATGTGGATTTGTATCAGTTCGCAAGAACTGCACAAACTATGCTACTACTAGTCCACTCATAGTAACATAATATTCTCTTACTTGCAGCCCAATCTCAACTGTGTTGAAGGTCCAGGTTTTTCTCAGCTTTGGTCGGGTTTGGGAGTAGTCTGCCTCCATTCTCTGGCACATGAGCTTCAAACTCTGAGGGGTATTGGTCAACTCGGAAGCCCAGGGAAGCAGAACACCGACTCCTGCAGTGTAGTCACGGTTGAAAAGGCCCTGACAAATGGGGTCATGTGTCAGAAAGCGCCCCATACTCCACTTCCTAAGTTTTGCGGGCCCGTGCAAAGTGCGTTCCACTGCATTCCGAATCACCAGCATGCTACAAGCAGTGCTGATGAGATTCTTTACATGCTCACTCAAAATCTCAACAACCTCCGTGTCCACATTTTGCATCAGCTGTACTGCTGCCCCCGATTCCATTTTCCCTAACTGGTAAGCCTCCGCCAGCTCTGAGGCGCTGGACCACGCCTCCCAACAATTACCAAGCACATCAAACATGTTGAGCGAAAGCTGTGGACAGTCTGGCCTCAAGTCCAGCAACGTCCTCTCTGTGCATGCGCTTGCTCAGCTGCAACTGAAATAACAGGTTGAAACAGTTGGGACGGCGTCTTACCGCGCTGGACATTGTTATGCCTGAGCGTCTGGCAAGTAAACAGCATTCTGATTAAACAGCATGAACAAGATACATTTACATATAGCCATAACATGACAGCCTCGGTTCTTGAGCAATATCATTGAAGGGTCGTCCGTGGGAAGCATAGAAACCGCACCATGGATGGTGCAAAGCGACCTGAGAACAATACACAAAAACTGTAATAATAGCACTCCATTGATGTTCATTGAAACTTGTGACCATTGTGAAACAGAAACTTGCAGCAAATTAGGCCAGTGGACTTCTGCACATCTTTTGGCAGAGCTGCTGCTAGCTCTGGGAGTTGGTATGCTGCTACCATACAAACCACTGCGCAATACGATCGTGTCCACCCTTTCACCATGAACACGTTCATAGGAGCTACCATCGTAGGTGTTTCTGGAAAGAGCTCTTCTGAACTCATGCGGAAAACAGGTTGGCAACCAAAGGCCATTGGCATAGCACATATGCTCAACTTCTCAACTCCACCTTCGTTGGCATCCGTGCGGAACCTTGTCCCAAGAATATGACATATAATCAACAGAGCTTCACAAACGCATTTAGTTAAAAAAGGTGAGCAACCCGTGACATAAGATCAGCTGGCAAAGTTGGGTGATCACGTCCTTGGCTGAGTGAGGAAAGTTGAAAGTGGATGTCTAGTAATGACTTTCAACCTCAAGCTGCCTAGTAACAGTTTCTGCAAATCCCTTCACTCCAGCTGATGGGTTGAAGACAAGATGGAATGGTCGGAGATAGACTCCTCCACTAGAATTCAAGCTCTCGTCTGTGATGTAGCACCTTTCAAGCAGGAAGCCCAGAATGACACAGCCAATTGTGGACAACAGTCACTCCACTGTGGCTATGACACACCGGATTCTGCTGGGAACTTTGAGTCCACCCACTGCACGAAGCGGCTAATATCTTCCTGGAAAAGCAAGTATTGCATGTGGCAAAGCAAAGCGTGTTCTGCGTCCTTTGTCTTGAAGATGGCTTCGAGGGCTTTGTCCATGTTGCCGTACGTCTCGAGCTTCTCTTGACTAGGTCGTTGGCCAACGTCATAGCTGGAAACAACAATTTTCAAAGCATTCTTGGTCCACGAACCATTAAAGCAAGTCGCAGCCATGCCATGAAAAGCTTAAGATGGGTGCTCTCCATCTCTTCTGCCTTCACACTTGGCAAGCCTGGCTCCTTGGGGCCAGAAGTCCTGGCCGCCTTTGAGGCGCCATCACTGGCGCCAGACTTGCGCTTACCCCCCATCTTGAACCTAACAAAGTACATGTCAGAGTAAAGGTAAAAAGGTCAACTGTGCGAACACACCTGAGTCACTCGTTTGTTCACTGCCTGTTTTTAGCAACCTTCCAAGCTCAAATAGGTGGAAAAGTATCCACCCACTGAATTATTTGAATTGCCTTGTCTACAAGCTGCGCCTGATGCTGATGATGAGCACCTGGCCAACAAAACAGTGCAAATGTTTGGCCACGACGCGAGAAAAATAAACAAACCCTAACAGAAGGAACGCAATCGTTTCTGCAAACCGTTTCTGTTTTAAAGTCTTCCTGTGTCTGAAGCAACACGCTGGTCATTCAACAGCGGTGGCGGCAACAAAGGTGAAACTCAGGACTCAGGGGTGCTTCCACACAAACCAATCCACTGTGAGTACAAAACCAGCTGTCTGTGGAGAACTGGAGAACCCCAGAAGTCAGGCAAGTCTTGCGCCGAATCCAAGGCTACACTGAGTGCAAACATTACTTTGCGCGGGAATCAGAACCACAGATTACAAACCATGTCTTGCGCAGGCTGATAGAACAAACAAAATGCGTTGCGCAGAACCAAAGAATACACTCAGTGTTTTCAGCAGAATCACAGAATGTAACGTTGCTCTGCGCAATACCATAGAATACAAACCATGTTTTGCGCAGAATCACAGAAGACGATCGATGTTTTGTGCAGAACCACAGAACACCAAACATGTTTTGCGCAGAGCCAAAGAATACAAACCAGGTTTTGTGCAGAACCGCGTAGAACAAACAATGTTTTGTGCAGAATCATAGAATACAAACTGTGTTTTGTGCAGAACCACACAACTTGAGACCTGTTTTGTGCTGGACAGCAACAACATCCGGCGCGAAACTCTGACGCTAGCAGGCTGGCAACAGGTTCCGGGAGTGCGTCCTGATTTGTGCCGAGTGGGGTCCCCATCTGGCACAAAAAAAATCAACAGAAATACTTCAAAAAAAAAATCTATATGTTTTCATCATACCAGGGGGATGGACCCCCTAAAACGTAATGCCGCACCCAAATTTTTCAGCATTTTGGCAAGAATCAGCTGTTGCACAAACATCTACATACAAACCCAACAATTTTTCACAACTGGGCACCTACCAAAACCTCTGCAGTTTGTAGCTGGGGAGGGGCCCCCCATGGCACTAAATCCAAGTCTACAGGGTAGAAATGCAAAAAC